ATGTCTTTCTTGCAGTAAGGTGCCCAAAACTGGACACAGTACTCGAGGTGCAGCCTCACCAGAGCTGAGTACTTGGGGACAATCACTGCCCTCCTCCTGCTGGCAACACTGTTTCTGATACAAACCAGGATGCCATTGGCCTTCTTGGCCACCTGGGCACACTGCTGGCTCATGTTCAGCCGAGCATCAATTATTCCCCCCAGGTCCATTTCCTCTACACAGTCTTCCAGCCACTCTGCCCCAAGCCTGTTGTTGCTGGCTAAAGTGCAGGACCCGGCATTTGTCCTTGTTGAACCTCATCCCACTGGTTTCAGCACAGCTCTCCAGCCTGTCCAGATCTGTCTGTAGGGCCTCGCTACCCCTCAGTAGATCGACACTTCCAGCCAACGTGGTGTCATCTGCAAACTTACTGAGGGTGCACTCAATGCCCTCATCCAGGTCATCAATATAGATATTGAAGAGGACAGGCCCCAGCACCGACCCCTGGGGAACACCACTCGTGACAGGTCACCAGCTGGATTTAACTCCATTCACCACACTCTCTGGGCCCAGCCTTCCAGCCAGTTTCTTACCCAGCCAAGAGTGTACCTGTCCAAGCCAAGCTTCTGCAGAAGAATACCATGGGAGACAGTGTCAAAAGCTTTGATGTTACCTTTGCAGGAAATGCAGAGATGTTATGAAGGGCTTCCAGATGCAGCTGGTCAAATCACATCTGTTTAAATGAAGTTTTAACCCCACCACCACTTCTACATGTTTACCCTTATGTTTCACATGAAAGTAGGAAACTTTACCCCTTGCTGTGTGCTGCTCACCTTCTAGTCAATCCCTGCAGCACATGCAGCCTCTACAGAACTGAGCAGCAGTCACTGCCCAGGCCCCAACTCCTCCCAGCTCTGCTGCCACCGGTCCAGGCTGCTTCTCTTTCTTGCAGACTTGCTTTGGGATTAAGTGTGGATTCTGGTGCATAACTGATGAAAATACAAATGAGTGAAAAGGCTCTGCTAACTTCTACACTGCTGCCTGTTGGGGACATCATCTTTGATTGCAGCTGACCTCTGCAGATACAGCTGCTCAGAACTCCAGCAGAGCTGGGCTTCCTTCTGCCTACCATGCAACGCTATTATTCCCTGCATGGCACCACTCTTATTACAAAATGACCTTTCACTACTCAGATCCCAGGGATCTGTTCTATGTTTGATCGCTTGTAGTTGAACTGCAGGTCAACAAAAATGTATTTCCCTCTGCTCTGTAGATAAAATCTCAATTCTCCAGAGATAACTGCAGTTTGTAGTGGAGTTGTCAGACCGCCTTCTCCAAGACCAGTACTCTAAGCACTAAAACTGCTGATAAATTTAAACTTTGAAAAGTGATAAGGAAATTTGAGTTCCTTGCTTTATATTAAACAGCTAATTTGCTAAGCTAACAGTTTTACTGGACTCATCTGAGTTTGAAAAATTAGTGCTATACACCTTGTGTAGTATTTGTGTACAATGACAGAATGAAGAGATCTGAAAAAGGAAAGACTTCATGCTTTTAAGTTCATATCTCATTTTTGTATTCCAACATTTTAAAAAATAGCTTTTATTTTTTAAAATCTTCTACTTGAATCTAGCAGAAACTTCCAATAGAGCAGAAGAAAGAGGCAGAAAGGTCTGCATGTATAATGCAAGATGAAACAGAAAATGTAAACGATCATCTTTAAAAGCTAATGTGCATTTCAGTATTAAAATTCTCCAGTATGTAATAAAATATTGGTACATTTAGCCTGACACTATTACTTTAAAGATCTGCCCCATGCAGCACTTTGAGTATGCCAGGAATGCGATGTTCAGGACACCTCCCTGGATGAGTCCATGGCACTGCTCCAAACACAACAGAAGAGCCTGAACCCACACCTTCCATCCTCCAGAAAACTACATTACTGCTGGGCTGCTAAATACTATGGATCTACCCGTCCTCAAAAACCGAAATTCTACTGTCCACATTCTTCACTGGATTCCCATTTTCCATACATAGCGACCCAAATGTCTCCCCTCTGTATTTCCATCTACAGTAATTTCAGCGCACCTTAAAATGAAGCACCTGAAATGCCAGAGACCACGATAAAATATTTTCACATGCTTCTAAGACTGTAGTCTGTGAGCAATAATCAGAGCACTGCAGCACGACTGCAGCCGAGTCTGAGAAGCAGCATTTATCACAGCAATATTTTTTGAGCAGTTGGATATTTGGATATCAAATCCAAATATGTGTGTGGCCTCACAACGATTTTCATTCACATTCTCTAGTATCCTTAAGAACAGATGAGATGGGATGGATTTCATTAAGTGGTCAAAGTGAAGGATACCTTTCCATGTTACCAACTCTCTTGCAGACACTGTTCCATGGCTTTTATGAAGATACTCATACAATCCTGCTAATGAAGATTTTGCAGTTGGATAAACTTGTCTCTAAACCACTTTGATATTGCTCAGGGTTTAGTAAAGTTCAACCTTCCTCTTCAATTTGGCATTATCAGCAAAGCTGATAATCTCCTCAGCTCCATCAAGATTTTAGAACAGAATAGAGAGTGAACTGCATTTTCATAGCACTTCAAAACACTAGCTAAGTTTTAGCCAGTGTTAAGTGTTCTCAAGATGGTGTATACAGCCACATGAAACTGAAGATTATATTCACCTCCTGACTTCTCCCACACTTTTGTAAACATCATATTATTGTAAAGAGCTAGGAGAATGTCAAATGCCTGGCCTTACATTCTTTTGTACCCCAGACAACATGACTTTTACAGATTCAACAGTCCCTAACAAAGTGGGATTGGGCATTCCCCTCATTACAACAAGTATTTAGTAAGATCTCCAAGCAAAGGTTTTTGCACACTTCCTGTGTGTTGTTGACAAACAGGACAAAAAGCCATCTCCCATTCCAATGGAAAATCAAACGTGCAGCAGGAGTGACCAAGATACTTATCACTACTGAATTTATCACTACTGAATTCTAGATTTGTTGCCTGCTTTCTTCCTTAAGTCTCCTAATACAGCAGCTTCACTTGCACATATGAAAACATGCAAAAAATTCTCTCAAGTACATAAGATCAGATGTGCGTACAACAAAATACAGGAACGATGAACAATTTTACAGGACACTTTTGCAAACAAATATGCTTCTTATCATCCTAGTATCCTGTGCTCACAACTAGTGCCATAATTAGTTTTAAGGGGGTATTAAAGATGCTTATTCATTCTCTTTTCCGCATTGTTGGGGAAGAAATGTTCATCCCTCAGAAGAAAGATGATCTCGAAGTTACAGGAAAGAGGAGCTTGACTCTTTGAGATGGATTATCTCAATCAAGTCAAATAAAAATCTCCTAAAGCCCAAACCTTTATTTTGCAAGTTTTAAAATGGATGTGCTAACATATGCTTTGAGCAGAGCACTGCACCAGGTCACTTCCTACAGTGCCTTTCAACCTGAATCTTCTGATCATTACATTTGTTCTGAGATATGTGGGCACTCAGTCATTATTACAGGGCTGATTATGAGTGAAAAAAAATGAGCATCCTATTTAAGGCATAGCTGTTTACTAGATATGTGCTTAGTAAATGCCTTGTAAATGCCTAGTGAATGTGACTAGCATGTTCCTTTGACAGTTCTGTCGAAGTGGTTGTGAACTTTGTGGTTTTCACAATTGTCATCCATGAGCCAGAAGAGTAAGATGATTTCTCTTCTGGGTGACATGACAAAACATGCAGCTTTACGTTCGTTTTTAGAAAGCAATCAAAAAACCAACAAAACGTACAGTTTGACTACTTAATAAGTGACATTCTAGAAAATAAACATGCTAGGAACTTCACTGTATATCATATGCAAGTGTATTTACTAGGAATATTAAAAAATGTATTTGCAGATAAACCGATGCCAACATATAATCACAAACAGGAAAAACTCTCATGCACTTGTTATCTTGCAAGACAGAACACCCAATTTGGTATCAGTTTTTCACCACTGTTTCAAGAGAATCTGTTCAGAGTTACTGGATATTTTTCTTTTTCTAGCCCTTGCCTAGAGGAGTCATTCCTTTTCTCCAAGAAGAGAATTCCTTCCCAAAAAGTTCAAAGTTCTAGACGTTGTTTCTCTATCCCCTTCTCTTTAATTGCTAGCTAGTACAAAATTCTTTGTTTCTTTTTCTCTTACTATTATTCCACCTAAATGTCAGAAAAAATATATATATATATATATAAAAACAAATCTTGAATTTCTTGCTGCTATATAGATAATGCATAACAAACATAAAAGAACAAATATTTTTTCTCAAAACATTTCCCTGTAAGTATTTTATAATTAGAAGTGTAGCGCTGCAGTCACAATAATTTATGTGTATCCACACGAAATCCAAGGAATAAGAATCAAAAAAGCAACAACAAAATCCCTAAATTCCCAATTCATACAGATTTGATTTTCCTGCACTGGCTTTTCCTCACCACTTTTTTTCTGTTAATTCATTTCACAGACCACATCATGACTCAGCTTAACCCCACGTAAGCAGATGGCGGAAAATATGATACTACAAATTCAATTTCTAGAATAAGTCACTGAACATTCCTGTGAGTAATAGGTAGCTGTAGGTATGATCCTATGTCACATTTAGAAGATTATTTATCAGGCAAAGCTGAAGATGGGTCAACAATCTCCCCCTGTTAAGGTACATCCTCTTCTAGGCTTATCTCAGTTGCAGCACGTGATAATAGCAAAATCACTGCAAGTCCTACATTTCTGCCAGTCTCAGCTCCTTCTACTGTTTGCTACTTTCTTCTAGCAGATCTCTCAAGTAGAACAGTCAAGATCAACTTTGGGCTGCTTAAACATAAATACCAGTTTTAACAGTTCACAGTACACTTGGCAAAGCTGCCTTCAATATCCCACCAGGAAGAAAAAAATACACATGAAAAGCATAAAAAACCCCAACAATCAACAACAAAACCAAACCAAAACTAACTTCCCTTACCTTGCTGGAGGCACATCAATGTTTGAAGAAACAACCTTGCGCTTCTGTTCCAGAAGACAAACAGAACGAGTGTTTTCCTTTTCATATTCATGAACTCTGCTTGTTTTTTTGGTCTCTGCTGTTTTTAGATCTTCCTCCTTCGTGGTGAACAGGAGAAACTGTTGGTCTGGCAGTTTTTGACTGATGTCAGTTTTTACATCCTCCTGTTGAAATGCAGGGAAGGTCATTTCACGCTTGATGCTGGTTGCCTGCAAAATTAAGAGTAGTTATTAATTTTTTCTTTTATTTTTCTAAAAAGTGGTGGTGAGGACCCAATATCCACAGACATTTTAATTAGCTCTTTGAATCAGAGAATACTATTTCTTTGCTATTCATAAATTCTGGAACTGCTATTAATTTCTCCATAGTGTTAAAGACAGCCCGGGAAAATAAGCAATTATTGGCCATTTGGCAAAGCAATCCAGTAAAGTCTTAATGTTAAATAAAAAAGGTACTGGACTTGAAACACCGTAAGCCACAATATGCACAACTTATATTTAATGCGCACACATTTGTGCTGTGTAACTATTCAAAAGAAATTCTGACTGCTCTCATCCTAAAATCCCATTAAATGTCAGAATTTACACAGATGTCATTCTAAAAGGCAACCAAGAAATAAAGGAGCTTCTGAAGCCATTTATGTGCTTTTAACATCAGGAGTTTCAACCACCAGCTTGCCAGAAGTTCCAGGGCTAGACCTGGGTGGCAGTCCCCTCCCCTGAAGCCAAATGGCCACCAGAAGACAGAACAACCTGGCTGGTATAGATGTACTTCCAAAGCACATGCATGGTGTCCAGAAGTCTTCAAGACTTGCAAAGTGGATTTTTAGACACCTGTTACTATTACTATGGATATTACAGTGGTGAAATCCAGGATGCACTACCATCAGACACCAACAGCACAGATAAGCAGGAATCCTTTCCTATGTAAACTCTGCCACCTTACTCCTTCTTGTCATTGTTCAAAAAATTAATAAATGTGTATGTAATTAATACCTACGTATACAAATATATATGTATCTCCTTCCCACAAATCTATTTATAGCTTTCAGATCTTGGCAGGTATAAAAAGGTGCAACCTATTTACAGTTCACAAGGAAGAGTCTTGCCAAGGTAATTTTGTTTTGTTATGATGCAAAGTATATGTCATATTTGGGACCAATGATTTAATGTGTCTCATTCTTGTGTTTCCATGGAAGGACTTTTGGCACTTGCTTCAAATACAAAGCTGAAATTGTTACTTTGTGAATGTAAATAGTACAAAGAATTAGTCATTTTACACTTCACACACGAACAGATGACACATTACCAAGAAAATTCGCCTGGAAGACAAAACAATCAGCATGTGATCACAGAATTAAAAGAAGACATATAAACAATATAAATCTAATTATGATCTAATGAGTATTTTTGGAAAAGTTCTTAGATTTACAGAAACGTCTTTTCTGAGGGTCTGAAGATTTTCAGATACTGAGTAACCTTCTGTTTTCATGGAGATCAACCTGAAATAAGTGATGCACTGAAGACAAGAAATGACTGAGATCACCTAGGTTCCAATATCCAGCCTAGAGATTATGCAAAGCCAAATGAAGGCGTGTATAAAAATTTGAATTCTGCTGTTTTATCATCTTCCAAGGCAAAGGCAGACTCCTCCTTTCTCTACTCTCCAATTCCAGTCTGAACCACAGAATGGCTTAAGTTGGAAGTGAGCTCTGGAGGTCACTGGATCAACCTTCTGGCTCAAGCAAGGCACTAGAGCACATTACCCAGGATTGTGTCCAGGCAGCTTTTGAATATCTCCAGGGGAGGAGACTCCTCAATTCGTCTGAGTAATCTATTCCAATGCTCTGTCACCCTCAAAGAAATGAAGGTTTTACTTGAATTCAGATGGAAATTTCTGTTTCAGTTTGTGCCCATTGCCTCTTGTCCTGTATCATTTGGGCACCACAGAGAAGAGTTTGATCCTATCCTGACACCTCCCTTCAGATACTTATACACATTGCGGAGATCCCCCCATGTCCTCTCTCCTCCAGGCTGAACAGGTCCAGCTCTCCTCATGTGAGATGTCCCTTCAGTATTTTAGTAGCCCTTCCCTGGACACGCTCCAGGAACTCAAAGTCTCTTCTGTATTGGAAAGCCCAGGACTGGACACTACTCCAGGTGATGCCTCATTAGGGCTGATGAGAAGGGAAGAATCATGCTTCATGCAACCCCATGCAACCCTCATGCAACCCCCCCTGCTTTGGCAGGGGGGTTGGACTCGATGATCTCTGGAGGTCCCTTCCAACCCCTACAATTCTGTGATTCTGTGATCATCACCCTCTACCTGCTGGCAGTGCACTTCCTAAGGCAACTCAGGACACTGTTGGCCTTCTTGGCCAATAGTGCACAATGCTGGCTCACGTTCAACTTGTACTTCACCAGGATCCCCTGGTCCTTCTCTGCTAAGCTACTTCCTCATAGGTCAGCCCCCAGCTTGTACCACTGCATTAAGATTATCCTTCCACAGGTGCAGGACCTTCGTTGAATTTCAAGAGGTTCTTCTCTGCCCATCTCTCCAGCCTGACAGGACCCTCCCAAATGGCTGTGGAGCACTTCAGGATATTAGCTACCCCTCCTGGTTTTATATCATAAGCCAATTTCCTGAGAAGGGCCCTGTATCCCTTCATCCAAGTCAGAGATACACAAGTTAAACAATACTGGACTCAGTACTGACACTGCTAGCTGCACACCTCCAAACAGACCGTGCCCCTTATCACAAACCTCTAAGACAAGGCACTGTCAGTTCTCAATCCACTTCACAGTCCATTTATCCAGCTCTCACTTAGTGAGTTTGATGATATGATGGGAAACAGTGTCAAAAGTCTTGTTGAAGTCCAGGCAGACAACACCCACTGCTCTCCCCTCATCCATTCAGCCAGTCATCCCATAGAAGCTAATCCAGTTGGTTAAGCATGATTTCCCTTTCGTGAATCCATGCTGACTACTTCTAGCAACCTTCTTGTCTTCCACATGCTGAGAGATGGCCTCCAGGATGAGTTGCTCCACTACTTTTCAAGGGATGGAGATGAGGCTGAATGGCCTGCAGTTTCCCAGGCCCTCCTTGCCCTTTTGAAGACTGAGGTGACATCTGCTTACTTTCTCAATCATCCCTCCTGATCGCCATGACTTTTCAAATATTATCAGGAATGGCCAAGCAGTGATGTTCAGCAGCTCCCTCAGCACTTGTGGGTGCATCCCAGAAGGGTCCATTGACTTGTGGGTGCCACATTTGCCAAAACCAATCTAACCCAGTCCTCCTCAAACAAGGAAAAGCCTTCTTTTCTCCAGACTTTCTCTCTGGTCTCCTGAGTCAGGGATTCCTGTGGGCTGGCCTTGGTAGTGAAGACTGAAGCAAAGAAGGCATTCAGTTTCTCTATTCACTCTATCCAACAGGATGATTTTGCTTTGTTTTTAGTTTTTTGTTGTTTTTTTTTTCTACCCAATATATTCATCATTTTACCAAAGAAGAAAATAATTTGTTCTCAATGGGACTATGACATTTTATTCATTTTCAACAAATATATTGTCACACATCATTAAATTTAGTCATAGTGATCACAAAAGGTTGCAGACATGACTAAATTAACGGTTAGACAAATAGAGTCAAAAACATTAAGAACAGAATCACTTTTACTGTGATACATACCAAACTGTTACACATATAGCAGGAGGGTTGAAACTAGATGATCATTGTGGTCCTTCTCAATCCAGGCCATTCTATGATATGATATGATATGACATTCATATTCAGCTCAAATACATTCAAATAATGGTTGGGTTTTCATATTTCAATATGTCATCATTAATAGCGAGATCCATCCAAGTGTGTGAAAGTGAAAAATGACCACAGATTCAAATGTTCAGAAGGTTGCAGAAGGTCCACCAGCAGATGAACAGATCAGGTCCATTGGTTAAATAGCCAGAAATGGCAGAAGACCACATCTAGTGCTTATTCTTTCTGCTTTCAACAGATAATTGGGGAAAAAAAAAAAAAAAAAGCATCTTTCTAAACTTCCCCCTCGTGATTTCTAATAAGGTATCTTTCCTCCTTTAAAAACAGGTGATGATAACAAGTCTGGACTTGAATTCAGTGGCTACTGTCTGGTAACTCTCCTCTGCTCTGCAGACAGCTTTTTTTCCTTTAATTCATCCACGTCTACAAGAGCCAGTTCCACTTGAAACTTCTGCCCTTTGTGGAAGAGTACATGACCTTTATATGGCAACCTAGCCATATGTATGAGCAAGTTAATGTGAGAGCATCATGTGCCACAGTAATTTGACTGATCAAGTTTCTCACTGTTTGGTAAATCCATTGATAAACCATTGGGGCTACCCACTTTTCATGTTCTAATTCATGATCATTCATAGCTGTGAGATAGCATTACCAATTTCTAACACATTTTTCCAGATAAGTTATCTGCTCTATCTTATCAGAAACTTTTTTCCCCGTGAATCCAGCAGCCTTTTAACCATTTCAAGGCTTTTGGCAGTTCTGTAAAGCTACAATACATTGCAGCAAAAACTTAGTGGAATGTCTAATGCAAGCAGGCAGTCTCACAGATAATACTTCTGATACTTAGCATTTCTCTCTCATTAGCTAGGAAGTGGTTAAACTACATGATTATGGTGCCAGCTAATGGTTTGCTTTTTCTTGCCAACATACCTCAATACTTGCCACCTTACTGCCTCCAGTATCAACTGCTGATAAATACCTCCATAATTTTTTCCATACACAGTTAATTACCACACGTTCAAACCACTTTATGTTACAGTCATTGCTTTTCTATGCAACTCTTTGCATATTTTTCCCTTCAAGCCATCCGTAACCTTCAGCTTGCTTTGAGCCAAGTGCTTTGCAACCTGCCCTCAGGCAACTGACATTGCTTGGAAGTTCAGTTACAGAAATACAAGTTATAAAAGATCTGCAAATTTTAATCTACCCTTGTTTTCTATCGGCAGTTACTGTCACCTCCCTTTGACAATTTCCCTCCTACCACTGTGGGCACATGAGACTTTTGATACACTTGCAAATGACAGTTGAATGTCATCTGTCCTCCTTCCTGGAGCTCAGATCTTGTACTTGCACCCACTTGGCCCTAACCCGATTCTACTCTTTCTGTTCCTTTTCAAGAAGTGCTGGCCCTCTCACACACTCCTTCAAGTTTTCA